AAATGGTATACATTTTCCTCCCCTGCTCAGACAGGAAATCCTATGCCATTTCAGACAAACATCTGTCATCATTTGGCTGAAGTCTGTGGCATATGAAAGATTACAACTTGGAACATAGCAATAGCACTTTACAGTATTCTCTCAGTAGTTTAGTAGTCAGCATATTGCCCCCAACAGTCTGGCTCCTAATTTTACTTTACTTGAGCTGGTCAGGATCAACCTGGGGGCAGTTGACAGAATTAGCCTGCAATACTGTATTCTAACCACTGTGCTATCAGGGCTTTAAATATTTACTAAATATTTACTAATATTTACTAAATATTTAGTAAAGGACAAGTGTCGAATGGAAAAGAAATATGTTGAGTGTGAGACTAGGGGGTGAAGAAGACTAACATATTTAAATGAAGGTGGTTTGATCATATGGAATAGAATTGATGAATATGAATTAAGAGGCTAAAATATTTATCAGAAAGTATGAATTAGTGTCATTTCTGTTGTGAATACATGTAAAAGTAGGAGTCTATGTACTGGTGATAATTGCACGTTATGCTAAATGATGGTGCTGGAAAAACAAGAGACAAATTTATTTATGTAATATTTGGTGTGAATGTGATCCAGGGGAAAATGTTTTTTTTTTAGGTGACGTGATAGGATGGGTGGGAATGAGAGGACGTTCAGAAAATTATTATGAATATAACATCTGTGTCTGACAATTGAAAGAATGCTATTGTTGTTACCCTGTGTAGGGGGAATGTAGTAAGAGTGAATGCAGAAATTAGTTAGTTAGTAAAATGTGCCTAGAAAGATGTTTGACAAAATTCCAATGAGGAAGGTAGAAGAGGTGACTGAGCCAAATTTATGAAGTGCAATTTGGCTTTATGTTGGTCAGCAGATGTACAACTGACACTTTATTCTTCAGAAGATTACTGAGAAATATATAAATATGAGACAGATAGTTTACTGTATTATTTGTTGTTAAGGAAGAAGGAAATTACATTTATATTTAAAGTGAATTATAGAAAGTTAGCACAAATATAGAATTGTAGACAAATTGTTGAGTCTGGTAAGTGTAGCATGTGCTGGTAGAGCATGAATGAATGTAAATGGAATTCTTGGCAAATGGGGTAACATTAAGCACAGAATAAAACAAGATATTTCTTTGGTTATTTTATTCATTCATTCACCAATGTATAAGAAATGTTTCTGGTAATGTTAGAGGTGTATTGTTTGGGGACAACAATACATTTGTACTTTAATATACAGATGATAATGAATGAATACACAAATGATTCAATAATAGATTGTATTATGCCAAGAATACTATGAATCTAAAATCAATGTATCAGAAATAGTTGTTATGTGACAGGACAAATAAAGAAAGAATGGTTGAAAAATTAGGGCAAGTGGATGAATTTGTGTACCTTGGTTGAATGTTTGTATGTTTATACATTTATATAAATTAGTTCAGCATAGTTAGAAATTGAATGTTTATAAATTTTAAAATGTGCACCTAAAATGCATTGTATGAAACAATGTATATATAGACATGGTGGCAGTAAGGATGGCATAAGAATATAAAAGCCTGGGAAGATATGTTGTTTAATTAAATTAGATTATTTCTGGACTTTTCCATATGTATGTATGCATGTATATATGTATGAATGTATGTATGTTTTATACATACACCTACCTACCTACCTACCTACCTACCTACCTACCTACCTACCTACCTACCTATCTATCTATCTATCTCACACATACACATGTGTGTCTGTCTGTGTGTGTGTATAAATGTAAACTCCTTTTCTTTTACTGGATTTTTAAATTTTCACCTGATTTAGATGGTCTGAATCCTTTTTTAAATACAAACTGGAGAGGCTGAAGCTGTCCAAGTCAGATAACTTTATAACTATTCAATCAGAATAGAGCTGGAAGGGACCTTCAAGGTCTTCTAGTCTAACCCTCTGCTCAAGCAGGAGACCCTATTCCATTTCAGACAAGTGACTGTCCAGTCTCTTCTTAAACACCTACTGTGAAGAAGTGCCCACAATTTCTGATGGCAAGCTATTCGATTCGTTAATTGTCTTCACAGTTAGGAAGTTTCTCCTTAATTCCAGGTTGCTTCTCTCCTTGATTAGTTTCCATCCATTGTTTCTTGTCCTGCCCTCTGGTGCTTTGGAAAATAAGTTGAACCCCTCCTCGTTGTGGCAATCTCTCGGGTACTGGAATGCTGCTATCATGTCCTCCCTAGTCCTTCTTTTCTCTAGATTAGCCAAAGCAAAATCCTGCAACCGTTCTTCATATGTTCTCCAGGACTTTAATCATCTTAGTTGCTCTTCTTTGCACTTTTTGTAAAGTCTCAACATCTTTTTTGTAATGTGATATTATTTCATTTCAAAAACTTCACAAGTTTAAAAATGAATTTAAGTATAACTTTATCAGAATTATCAATATTGATTTTTAAAATGTCAACTAATTGAAAAAAATTAAAAGGTACAATAGCAGAACCATGTGAACTAATGTAAGCATTTTTAAATGTAATTAAAAATGATTATTGTCTTAAATTATTCTGAAAAAACATTGGTCTTATTTTAACTATTTGAATCACTATTGAATTTGTACATGATTTATTTATTTAATTTAATTTTATCCTGCCTTTATTATTTTTATAATTAACTCAAGGCAGAAAACATGCCTAATATTCCTTCCTTCCCATTATCCTTCCCGTTATCCTCACAACAACACTGTGAGGTGGGTAATGGTTTATATTTAATGGAACCAAATGATCTAGCTTTGCAACAGGTAAAATTCATTAGTTTTTATAAAACACAGCTTCTGTTTGCTGCCTAACGAAAACTGAGGCTTGCCTACTTTCTTTATACTGTGAGAAAGTCCTGGTACCCTAAACATTTCATTTTGTGTAATAAAGATGTTGTCTGATACTTTCTTCAAAAAATGTCTTTGTGCTGTAAAAAAAATATTCTTCACCAACTTTTTCATATATTAAAAAGTTAATATTGGAGGAAGCAAGAGGCTTCTCTATGGCAAATGGTATTTTTTGAGACATTGGATATTCTTGTGATAGCATGGGACTCGGTATAGGATATAATTTAGTATCAGTTAAAATGAATCCTATTGTATTAGTGCCCTATAATATTTAGGCTTGAGTTGAGTACAGTACTCTGTTACCCCAGAGCAAGTAGATGAACATTATGTTTTAGCAGATTAACAGATTAACAGAGTTGGAAGGGACCTTGTAGGTCTTCTAGTCCAATGCCCCGCCCAAGCAGGAGACTCTACAGCTGTGATGCCACGCGGAGCCATATGAGTGGGCATGTGACTGTTCTAGCTCAGCTCTGAAATCAGCCAACTGATTTTTGGGTCTTCTGGGCCACTGGAAGTCAGGAAACAGGCTGTTTCTGCTCTCCGGAGGGCCTCCGGGGTGGGGGGTGCAGAAGGCCTGTTTTTCGCTCTCCTCAGGTTCCAGAGGCTTTCTAGGAGCCTGGGGAGGGCGAAAACAGCCTTCCCCACCCTGCCAGAGACCCTCCAGAGGCTGGAAATGGCCCGTTTGTCGACTTCCGGTGGGACCAGAAGGTCCATTTTTCATTCTCCCCAGGCTCCGGAGTCTTTCTAGGAGCCTGGGGAAGGCAAAAACAGCCTCCCCCCCCAGGTCCTCTGGAAGCTAGAAATGGCCCATTTGCCGACTTCCTGTCCCACCTAGCAAATAGGCTGTTTCCGGCCTCCAGAGGGCCTCCGGGGCAGAAGAGGCCATTTTTGCCTTCCCCAGACTCCAAGAAAGCCTCTGGAGGCTGGGGAGGGCGAAAAACGGACCTACCAGGCCCACCATGCCATCGCGTACCAAAAGTGGGGGGAGCACGGGCACATGCACAGGGGGGTGGGTGCATTGAATTATGGGTGTGGGTACATGCCCGCACGACCCTCCGCACTCCTTTCGCTTTCAGCACACAGCAAAAAGGTTAGCCATCACTGCCGTACACCATTTCTGGCAGATGGTAGCCCAGTCTCTTCTTGAAAGCTTCCAGTGATGAAGCTCCCACAACTTCTGAAGGCAAGCTGTTTCATTGGTTGATTGTTCTCACTGTCAGAAAATTTCTCCTTATTTGTAGGCTAAATCCCTCCTTGATCAGTTTGCATCCATTATTGATTGTCTGGCCTCGGGTGCTTTGGAAAATAGCTTGACCCCCTCCTCTCTGTGGCAGCCCTTCAAATATTGGAACACTGCTATCTTGTCTCCCTTGGTCCTTCTCTTCACTAGACTAGCCATGCTGCGTACTTGCAACCGTTCATTGTATGTTTTAGCCTCCAGTCCCCTAATCATCTTGGTTGCTCTTCTCTGCCTGTAGTATACACCTATGGCAACGTTTTACCTTCTAACATCAATCCGGGTGTCATGCAAATAGGCGTAGGTATGTTCAAGTAGATCAAGTAAGAGGTAGCTTCCTCAGAAGAGTCCTGTTGCAGAGCTTTACCAAGGAGTGCATGTTTTAGGTAACAAATGGCTGTTTTAGTAACAAAATAAAATTGCAGGATTTGCAGGACCCATATGAATTGATTTAGTGTTGTATCTGAACCTTATGACTGATTTACTAGAAATGGTTAAAGAATGACACTTTAAATAATATTTAAATGATTATCTTCACTAATGCTCTTCTAAATTAGGATAAGACAGACAAATTAATAGTTTGCAAGGTGTCTTATGCAGAACCTTTCCTGTTTTTTTATTTAAAGCCTTGCATTGTTCTTTTACTGGCTCTTGCACAATAAATCCTGCAATGATATAACATTGCTTGGATTTGTTTTTCTGATATAAATTTTCATTTCACTTGTACTTTGTTTTTCAGTGTGTTTTCAGCAATTATATTTTTTAGAATTTGATATTCTTAAATATAATGGTATACAGTGTGAAAACCTTTACATTATAAAAAGAAGTGTGCTCAAATTGTGATTAATGAGAAAACATACTTATGTTTCATTTGCAGAATCCTTCACATTGGGTGAATGTTCACCATCTGGAATACACAGATGGTGGAATCCTGGATCCAGATGACATCTTGGCAGATGTTGTGGAAGACAAAGATAAGGTTGATGGAGAATAATTTCTTTATTTTTAAAGAGAAAGTGTCTGATTAAATTAAGAGATAATTTGTATAGAATAACCTCATGCTAAATTTGTATGTTTAACAGATTGCCTATATGACTAATATCAGGTTGAATGTGTTAAATGTTTATATTGCAGTCTCATTTTTGTTTTTGTTTTTGTTGAACTCAGCAAAAATTCTTGAAAAAATACCTGATATATATTGTTAGCATATATTAAGTATTCAATAGGAAAAAGAAACCTTGAGTGCCCTTATGGTTTTGAAATTTGAGAAGCTCATGGGACTAAGCATTGATTTTAGATGTCTAAATTTGATTCTTTGATTTCACAAAGATAATGGCATTGTCCTGCATAAATAAATGTATTTCTTCATTCTATATGTTATAAAAGGTTTAATTGATCCACAATTTGAAACAATGCATGCATCCTTCCGACAGGACAGTATTTTCACAGAAATTCCATTGCCTCTACATTGATTGATAATAGCAAACATATTTGTGCTCTTCATTTGTGTCTCTTCCATATATTCTTTATAAAAATATATGAAAGTTGAAATAATGCACTTATTCTAAATGAATTCATTACTTTTAAATGATTGGTTCTTAATTTTTCTACTGAACAGGGTTTAGAAAAATTATTTGTACAAAAAGATTTTTTCTCCTCTTCCTTCCCAAAGTAAAAAAACTTCTTCCTTCATAAAGTAAAAAAAAAAACCCAGACTTCTGATTCATAGGATTTGAATAGCAGGAAAGATGATAGAAGAAAGTCAGCTTTTTTGCTCCTTCTCTTCTAGGGAGCAGCTTAGAAAAACATATCCATATAACCAGAGATGGGTTTTAGCAGGTTCTGACCAAGTCCTGAGAACTGGTGGTGGAAATTTTGAGTAGTTCGGAGAACCGGTAAATACCACCTCTGACTGGCCCCACCCCCATCTATTCTCTGCCTCCCAAGTCCCAGCTGATTGGGAGGAAATGTGGATTTTGCAGTTTCCCCTGCCATGCCCACCAATCCACACCCACAGAACCAGTAGTAAAAATTTTTGAAACCCACCATTGCATATAACATATTCTCCTGAACGGTCTGTCTCTGAAATGTGAGGTTCAGGATTGATGGAGGAAATGCTTGGCTTGGTTTTGGATTTACTCAGTTTAATAGAGTGAACTCTTGAGTCCTATTTACAATGTTTAAATTATTGTTTCATGGTATTGTATGCTAAGTAAAGACAATGCTGTAGTATTTGGTCTTTTGTATCAGATTTTTACACCTTTCAACTCCCTTAAATTTCAGCATAGGAAATTCTGGGAGTTGGAAAGATAATTTGATTGGTCAGTAATTAGAAAGTACCTAAGGAATATGAGGGTATGAATCAAAAAGATCAGGAGCAATATGGCATACACAGAGAACAATTGGATATAGATAAAATTCTATTAGGACCGGGAAAAAAAATGATCACAAAAATTTATAATCTCTTATTAAAATACAAAATGGAAGATGAAACGGTAAAAGAAACGATGATCTGTTGGGCAAAAAACCTCGGGCACAATATAGAATTAGAAAAGTGGGACAAATTGTGGGACAGAAATTATAAATTAACAATGGCAGTAGCCTATAAAGAAAATTTTTATAAAATGTTCCATCGATGGCACTTGGCACCAGCGAGATTGGCCAAAATGTTCCCAAATCTATCACCTGTTGGAGATGTGGTTACAAATTAGGCACATACTACCCTATGTGGTGGATATACCCCAAGATAAAATATTTTTGGCGTAAAATTAAAAATTGGTTGGAGAAATTACCCAATTAAAAATGGAATTTAAACCAGAACTGTATTTATTAGGAATAATCAACCCAAAAAGAGACAAATCTTCACAATATCTAATACTACATATTTTAATGGCAGCAAGGATTACTGTTGCATATGGGTGGAAAGAAAATAACATACCAGGAGAGGAAACAGTAGTTCGAAAAACGTTACAATGTGCAGAAATGGATAAGATGACACTGGAAATTAAAGAGAGGGAAGAGTTGGAATATTATAGAGTGTGGAACAAATTATATGAATGGTTAGAAAAAAGGAATCAAAACAATAATTCAGAATGTTAAATTAATTGGGTTAAAACTAGGAAGTGTAAATTACTGAATAGTGTTAACCTGACAGTGATGGTTGTGTAAATGATATAATGTAAATATAAGTACGTAGATGAACAATTGAATAAAAATAGAGAATCTCTATCCATGTCGATACAGAAAGCTGTAAAATAATATATGATGTAATGTTATTATGTGTTTTTAATGTGGTTTTGTTTTTGTTGTATTTTTCTTTATTTTGTTTTTAAAAGTAAAAAGTTTAATAAAAATTACTTTTAAGGATAAGGGTATGAATCAGGTTGGTGGTTCATTTGTAATTTTTATGGGACACAAAATATATTTAATTCTGAAACATATATTTTGATGATGTGAATGTTCGGCAGCAGAATCTTAATAAATTATCTTAAACTCTACTTTCTATAGTTTTCTACCATAGAAAATTGCAGGCATGAGGTAAAAACAACCTTAGGCATTATTACCTGCTTCCAATTATCATACTGCCAAATAAAGTAGATTATTTTTTCCCCCTCAAAAATTACAACTATTAGCTTTTTACATGACTTGCATTCTGTGAAGGTGAAATGGGTTGTTCAAACAATTCAACAGTCTTAGAGTTGTCAGGGAAACTTATGGCAATTTTAACTGGAAGGCTAAAATTTCTTTTTCTAAGAAAGGAAAAAATGACACAAATTTGAATAGTGTGCAGTTTCTAACTTAAGAAAATTACAGTATAATTAAATGTGGCATGCTGTACATGTTTACTGTGTCTTGTTGCTAATTAACTGTTGGGATTTTTTGAGAAGAGCTGGCTAACAGCTGTTTGAAGTAATAAGAATGGGGAGGGCTTTGGAGGTGATGAGCAAAACAACAAAATATTCCAGTAATATAATGAACTCCTACATTTCCTATTCTTTGAGGAAAGAAACAGGAAACATCTATGATCAAAAAAGGTTAGGCAAGTATCTTTATAGCTTCTGTTTTTCATTTATCTTTGGCTTTGTATATACTGTACCTTTTACAAAATATTATTAGTTGTTTCTCTAACCAAATATATCCATATTTCCTTTCTCTTCAGCTTTTTTTCACTAGTTTTGGGACATTCTTTTCTGATGCATCAATGGCACAGTATATTGCCTTGAGGTTATTTCAGTTTAATTGGCAAAATCTACCCTAGACTCTTTCTGTGCCCTTACTGCTTTTTAAAAAAATCTTTTATTCAGTCTCCATTCTGTCCCCACCTTCTAAATAGCATATGCAATTTCCTTACAGCAGGGTGTCAAACTTGATTTCATTGAAGGCCACATCAGGGTTGTGTTTGACCTTGGGGGGGCAGGTGGGTGTGGCCAGCTCAACATCACTTATGTCAGGGATGCCTGTGGTGGCCCAAGCGCTCTGCCAGTGAAAATAGAGTGGCCCTCCGAAGCTCCGTTTTTGCTGGCAGAGGCACTGTGGGCTGGTCCTTCGCTGTTTCCAAGGTAGCCCTGCGGGCCAGATCTAACCTCCCCGTGGGCTGGATCCTGTCCAGGATGGACAGGATCCTGGATGCCTTGAGTTTGACATCCCTGCCTTATAGCATTTAGCAGTGAATTCTTCACTCTCACATATAATCATTCGGTTATATCCATAATAAAATTCAGAAAAACTCTATGGGAATTCTAAGAAAGTGCAAGGAAGTACTTAGAACACACTATCTGACTTTATATCATTTGCAGCAAATATGGAGGACTGGTCAATATTGTTCTTTATGGTATAGCTGGGAAATGCAAAATAGCACTTTTAATGTAACAAATTCATGGTCTCCTGAATTGATCTTGTGTACAAGAATATTTGTGGATCAAATCTTGCTTCTGCAGTGAACTTGGCAAATAGATGTAGTAAAAAGAACAAGAAGTCTTCAAAAATATGGTTATTTTCACTTTGACTTTGACTCTCTGTTCCTAAGTTTGCACACCATTGTTTTTTATTTTTGGTTTTGGGTACTGCTGTTCAGGTGTCTGAAAGTCTTGCTTCATTTCAGGTGACACAAACACATACTGGCAAAATAAATTACTCTAAAAACATAACAAGGCATTTAAATATTTAAGAAAGTTTTCTAATAGGGATTATAAATATTAAGTTTGAGTATAGAAAAACATAGTTTGATATTTAACATCACATACATGGCAGAACATTCATTGTCTCTTGTGGAAAATCTGAATGGTTCAGAATCAGCAGTTTTGGTTGTTTATTAACAAACTATAATATTGAATGGAAATACAAATAAAACCACGTAGAGAGATCTACACAGTTTAATCTGGTGTTCTCATTTCATTTTGTAAAGAATGATTTCATTACATATTTAAAATAAATCTGTCACATACTAAAAATATTGAAATAATTAAACACATTTGATTTTTATGCATACATTTTCTAAAATTAACTGCCTTTTTCACACTAATCTGCCTTGTCTCTAATTGGGTTGAAATGTGTGAAAGAGAATAATTTTTCAAAGGGAAAATTAAGTCAACTTTCATCTGTTATTCAGTGTAGAGGGTGTGAGCCAGAGAAAAAAGCTTGTAGTATTTGGAGGTGGTAGTTTTTGTAGTGGTAAATCTCCTGCAGATTAAAATGCATATTTCTAGCTATTTACACTTTAATACACAAAAGGATAGAAATTTCATGGATTCGTCCTCAGCATATTATATTTTGTTTCTTAGTATATAAAACTTGAAATCTAAGAGAAGTAAATTTGGGATACGTTTTGTCCAGTGAAAGTATCTGTTTCATCTTTGCCAAGAGATGTAGTGGCACAGTGGTTAGAATGCAGTCCTATAGGCTACTTCTGCTGACTGCTGGCTGCCAACAGTTTGGTAGTTTGATTCTCACTGGCTCAAGGTTGACTTGAGGGCTGTAAAG